CTGACTGGCCTTACCACTGCAAAGAACCAGAGCAGAGCCATGACCCCCTGCTTGTATGTCTCTGCCTGGAGCATGCAGGCTACAGATAGCAGCTCTGCCTTGGATCTGGAGCAAACTGCCCCCATTTCAAGATCCCAGTGGCTCTGGAGCAGCCCCCTGCCCTACTCTGCTGTGAGTGCTGTCAGCGTGTCTGTGACTAGCTTCCATGGCAACCCCAGCCTTGAGCTTTCCCACGCAGCTGTAGCTCGGATCTCCACGGAGACCGGTCCCAGCCATGCAGGCAGGAACTGCTAGGAAATGGAGTCTGCTTGCCAGCCGGATCAGCCATTTTGCCCACCCTGGCCTAATTGGTAGCTACATGACTAAAGGACTATAAATATTACCCGCCTCTTTTCCCTTTCTTTTTCTTTTCCCTTCTCTTCCCCTTTTCTTTCCCATCCCCTCCTCCTTTTCCCCTCACCCTAAAGATGCCTCAGAACTGGAGACATCTGATCTCTCTTCAAGGATCCTTGCCCACTCTGGAAGCCTGGCCAGCTCTTGAGTCGTGTATTATTAGAACTGGTAACATACAATTACTAGCTTGCTAAGATTGTATCTTGTTAAGATTACTGAAACTGCTACGATTATATCTATATGCATGCTTGGAGTTAATATTTTATAATGCTCAATAAAACTGATTTATTAAAACATATACTGGGTATATTAAAACAGATAACTGGGTTCCCATTTGGAGAAGATAATTGGGTTCTCATTTGGAGAAGATAAATAGATTCTTGTTTGGAGAAAACTGAAGCATACTTTAAGGAAATATTGAACTTGCTGTTTGCTCCTCTTCCATTTGGGAGGAGAACCAGATACCCTCTGGTTCTTAGGGCAACAAAAAGAGAAAAATTGGCTAGATCTGAACTGTACAAAACAAGAGAGATGGGAGGATGGGTCTGCCAGACTTGGGATTGTTCGTCTATGTGACACATGTAAGCATGGTATGCAAGGAGGTAATGGAGGGAGAGGAAAAACAGAATGTATCACCCAATTTCACACAGCTGCAATTTTGAGAAAATGGAGAGTATATCAGAACTCTTTGAAGAGTCCATGGGTGTGGCAACTGACTATTCAGTACATCAGGATGGAAGATTTCATGCAGAGGTGTAAAATAGGGAAGGCATGGTTGGAAGTCCAGAAGGATTATTCATAGAAGGACAAGTGAAGAGGGTGTGGGGTAAACAACTAAAAGGGGAACATGCTGCCCGAGCATGGATGGTTGTAAGAAATATCTTTCCGACAAGAGAGGTGCAACACAGATGAGGCGTTATGAGTTCTTGTAGATGCCCAAGGGAGAGATATGAGGAAGAAGAAACAGTGGAACTTGTTTGGGAGTGTACCTATGCAAAGCGGGTGTGGGAAAGGGTTTTGCCAAAGCCAGTTTTAGCAAAAACGAGCTGACCTCATGAAGGAACACCTTGACAGGCTGGACACCTTCAAGTCAGCCGGCCCTGATGGTTTATACCCAAGGGTACTCAAGGAGCTGGCAAGCATCATAGCTCAGCCCCTGGCATGGATCTTTGAGAACTCCTGGTGCTCTGGTGAAGTGCCTGAAGATTGGAAGAAGGCCAATGTCGTGTCTATCTTCAAGAAAGGGTGGAAAGTAGATCCGGAAAACTACAGGCCCATCAGTCTGACCTCTATCCTGGGGAAGGTCTTGGAAAAGATTATCAAAGAGGTCATCCTTAACAGACTGGCTGACGGCAACAATCCTGAGGGATACCTCGCATGGGTTTGTTGCAGGTAGGTCTTGCTTGATCAATCTCACTTCCTTTTACGACCAGGTGACCTATCACCTGGGCAAGGGGGAAGAGATTGATGTCGTATATCTTGACTTCAAAAAAGCCTTTGATCTGGTATCCCATGATCACCTCTTGGCAAAACTGGCTAACTGTGGCCTTGACCCCACCACAATCCGCTGGCTGGGGAATTGGCTCTATGGTAGGACACAGAGGGTGGTGGTTGATGGAAGCCAATTGTCTTGGTGTGCGGTCACCAGTGGAGTCCCTCAAGGCTCAGTTCTAGGGTCTATACCGTTTAACATCTTCATCAATGATGTGGACATTGGTGTCAGAAGCAGGCTGGCCAAGTTTGCCGATGACATCAAACTTTGGGGTAAAGCATCCACACCTGAGGACAGGAGGGCGATCCAGGCAGACCTTGACAGGCTCAGGAAATGGGCGGATGAGAACCTGATGGTGTTTAACACCAAAAAATGCAAGGTTCTCCACCTTGGGAGGAAAAACTTGCAGCATGCTTATAGGCTTGGCAGTGCTACGCTGATTAGCACTACAGATGAAAGGGACTTGGGGGTCATGATTGACCACAAGATGAACATGAGCCTTCAATGTGATGCTGCGGCTAGTCAAGCGAGCCAAACGCTAGCTTGCATTCATAGATGCTGCTCAAGCAAATCCCGGGACGTCATTCTCCTGTTGTATTCAGCCTTGGTGAGGCCGCAGCTGGAGTACTGCCTCCAGTTTTGGGCTCCACAATTCAAAAAGGATGTGGAGAAGCTTGAGAGGGTGCAGAGGAGAGCCATGTGCATGATCAGAGGTCAGGAAAAGACCTTCTGATGAGAAGCTGAGAGCTATGGGACTCTTCAGCCTAGAAAAGTGCAGGTTCAGGGGTGATCTGGTGGCCACCTATAAGTTTATCGGGGTGCTCATCAGGATCTGGGGGAACATCTGTTCACCAGAGTGCCCCAAGGGATGACAAGATCGAACAGTCACAAACTCTGCCGCGACCAGTTCAGGCTGGACATAAGGAAGAACTTCTTTACTGTCTGAGCCCCCAAGATTTGGAATAGATTGCTGCCAGAGGCGGGTCAAGCACCCACCTTTTACGCCTCCCAGGGACCTGGATGCTTATCTTGCTGGGATTCTATGATCCCTGCTGACTTCCTGCCCCTGCGGCAGGGGGCTGGACTCGATGATCCCCCGGGGTCCCTTCCAGCCCGAATGTCTATGAAATCTATGAAAATAAACCTCTTGTTAACATGGGAGATGGTACTATATGGACTCATGCCAAAGGGACTGGAGTAAATGTTGTTAAGGACTTTGTTAGCATGATTTAAAACTAGTTTATGGAAAGTTAGAAACCTCTATTTTTTTAAGGGGTTGGCTTTCACTAAGAGAGACTGCCTGAAGCTGTGGCTGCATGAAGTGAAATACTATACTGATTGGGACAAGGGAGAGATCAGAGAGGGTGAGAAGGAGAAGAAGTGGAGGAAAAAGGACGTGTTTCACTAAACCAACAGACAGCAGTCTTGAGAGGGGCAGAAAGTTTAAGGTGGTTACTGAGGTAACAGGTTTTCATGGGTTTCTGTATTAAGACAAAGAGTTCTGTAAGTTTTTGTGGGTAGTTAATGTATATTGTTTAAGGGTTTAATATATGTAGCTGCATGCTTTTTGGGTATGTAGTTGTTTTTGAGATAAGAAAATTGTGGTAAAACAAGGAAGTTCACTATGTGATGTTTTGTAAGTGTAGAGTGAAAAGTGGGTTTTTAATAAAATTTGTGAAAAAAGTTCCCATAAGCATCTTGGTCTTTTGGCTAAGATCAAGAATTTTTTAGCACCAAGGGGAGGGTGTCAGGGCTGGCTCTGGCCCTTCAGGTGTTGGGCTAGTATTGCAGTACTTCCAGGTCCAATGCCAGTTCCCTGTGGATGGAACACCCACATGTATTTTTTAAAGGTCAAAAAGAAAAAAAATAATAGTATGGAAAAAAAAGTATCAGTACGTTTGCCCAAATGGATTATGCATTTTACAGTCATGCTCAGTGGTGGCTGCGTTCAACCAACTTCATAGCTGGTTTCCATTACTGAGCACATGCTGCTTTTGGCAGAAGTTTAATGATAGACAATGCATTTAATGAGTTTTCCTTGTATGCAAATGCAAGATGAAGAGCTTTTCCATTCATGCTAATGGGGGGGAGGGGGGAAACGATACCTTATCTTATACCCGAGTAAATACGGTATGTGTGAACGGCAAAAAACTGTACTGCAAAGAATTTTTGTAATTTTACCTAAGAAAAATAACAGAAAAAATGAACTATCAGTAAAAGGATGAAAGAATTCCACTGACTTATAGGAACAATGAATTCCCAAAGAGAGAATACAAAACTTTTTATGCACCAGAATTAGAGAGACGCAGGGCGTGATACTGGGAAGTGTTGAGCCCTCTCAACTCTGTGGCTTTGAGACTGCAATGCTTATAAAAATAAAACAAAAACGAATGGAGACAGGTTATCATTGAGCGCTAAAAATGATTCTGGAATAAACTTTCCTTCGGTATGGAGTTAAAAAAACTGCACTTATATACTGAATAAATAACCAAGACCCTCAGTAAGAGAGAGAAGCAGTTTTCAAATTTAAACGAATCATAATTTGGAAAACCAGAAGCAACATGTGACTCAAATAAAGAGACAAGCCCAATTGACTTTTTGTTCTATTCCTTTCTCTGCTGTCTGTATATTACCAGTTTTCCTTATAAAATCAGGTCCTGCTTAAATAGAAAAATGAACTCTCACATGTGCTTTCTATTCTTTAAGAAAATTTATTTTGGTGTTATGTATATTAGTTGCCTTTTTCTGTGTATGTTTCTTGACACTGATATCCCTGCAGTTCATTTTCTGGCTTCTCTGTGAATAAGGATGTATTTTTATGGTTCACAAGAGGAATAAAGGAGTTTCTCCACATTACAAGGGGAAGCTGGACAGGACCAACTTCTTCACTTAAATATACAAACAACTTTCCATTTAGAGCATGTGCATATTTGATGTTCCACAGTTTTCTGAAAGAGTGATTTCTCTTGAGAGCCTCTACATAGCCATTTAATAGTCTTCTGAATCATGCACATGTGTTACTGGCTACAGTTTAGGGAGACTAGTGACCTCTGGCAGGTCACTGTACTTTTTTTTTACTTAAGAAAAATGTAAAGATATTTCATTGCGTTTTTACCTGATCAGGTCCTGGATCCTGCTGTTAAAAGCCTCAACTTGTGAAGGTTTGTTTTTCACATCCTGTATTATTTTTGGTAAGGCAGACTGGTTGTTCCCATCTGGTAGAGTAGAGATCAGGCATTCAAAAACTACAGCAGTGATCCTGAGAAGTCCTGTTGTCAAACCTTCAAATACTTGCTTATTTGCACTTCTTCCTAATATGGCATTAAACTCATCTGGAACATAAACCTATATAAATAGAAAAAATAACCACACTTCACTAACATATCTATAACTAAAAGCATTATACCTATTTCCTTGAGAATATAGTGCTAATCAATGCTTTCAGAAAAGCTGCCTATATAACCCCCCACTCCTGTTATTAGAATCAGAGATAACTGAGGTAACAGCATTCCAGCATTATTGATGAACATTCAAATGTAATGCCTGTATGTCGTTAAAAAGCTACATTACTCCAACTCCCATTTGCAGTGATGCTATTTAGAAATGCTCACTTTTATAATATAGCCATGGTGAATTCTAATGGATGAAATAGAAGACATTTCTAAATGGAGGACTGTATGCAAACTGAAATAGGAACCCGACAGCAAAGAATCAAGTTAGGACTACATAAAGGCATTAGCATGATGTATAAGGAGGGTCTTATGATTAATTAGCAAACATATTTTGAAAAAATGGAACTCTTTTTTAAAAAAAATTAATCTTGACTACTGGTGTATGTTTGGAGTGCTGCTGTTAACGTGAAGTCCAGGAAATACATGAGACAAGAATATTTCTGGTGATACCTTTTATTAATTTTTTTTTTTGCAAAAATCTATCTATCTATCTCACCACCTCCAACACTCCACCAAGAGGCCCCTGTGGTTCACTTGGCAGCTCAAAGCACACTAAAAACCTGTTACACAGTTCGTACCGCATATCCACATGCCCGCGCACCCATTCCCATATCCATACCCTCACCCACTGCCCTCCTCAGAGGGCCTGCTCCTGAAAAAGTCTATGCCAGACCTCTCTCCACCAGGTGAGGTCTGCCATTTCTTTCCCGTTTTCCTCTTCTGTCTTCCTGTAGTACCATTCCATTTCACTTAGTTCCATTTTAATACAGTCCCTGACTGTGAGGTCTGAGTGTCTGCTTATGAGCAGGTTCCTGGAACAACCATGGCAGTTGGGGTGTTAGACAAACTTTTGGCCAGAAAGTGCCCAGGCTCAGGTCCATCTGCTTTTAGACTAATAGGGTTAGTTACCTCTATCTTCAGGTCTGGGAAAAAGGCAGACAAAGCTTGAGACAATGTCTTTGTGGGTCATTATAATCTACCTGTTATCTCTACCAATCTCTCTGCAGTCCAGAGATAACCAACCTTTTTACCTTTGCATGATCTTGCTCTTCCCCATAATTACGTCATCTATTCTAGTGTACTTCTCTTGTTTTGCAGCTACTCCTAAAACCAGCTTTGCTTCTACTTTACAGCCCTCCTTCATCCTTTAAGCGACTCTTCTTCATTTATATTTCATTTACACAAGCCATTGGTCTATTTGCTATTTAGCTCAAGCTCTGCGCTTCTTTCCGATACCTGAGGGAGGGCGCTTTGTGCCCAAAAGCTTGTCTAACATCTCTCCCAACTGTACAGAATTCTAATAACTTGACTTGTTTATTTTATGAATTATAGATTAAGGAAATTAAAAGGATGACTTGCTGATTCCTTGACACTTTGATTGGAAAACTACAGAGATTTCAAACTACTTCTGGGTGAAAATTGGACTTTTTGTTACTCTATGGTGATCTTCTTGCCTGAATTTGGAAAGATACTAGTATGTTACTATGAAATGCTATTTAACTTTCTTTAGTTAAAATGCTAGTTAGGAGAATTGCTGTCTAATAAGATTTTAAGAAAAAATAAATTGCCTATAGAATATAGCAACTATAAACAGCAAAGACAAAAATAGTGCAAAGCATTTAGGGCATCAATAGTTCAGAATTATGAGATATCCATGAAAAGAAAATAAACAACATACAGCTGAAGAAGTTTTAGACATAACATGTTTTAGTTTCATGGTGTTTTTTCCCCTCAGTGCTTCATACTGAAAGGCTTAATATGATAGTCCAAGCAGTTAAAGGAATGGGGACAGAATGGTATAAAAAAGGAGTGTTATTATGCAATTAGAATGTGAAGTGCATCCCAGCACTCTATCAGATCCACTCTTTACATAACTGCCTGATTAACTCTACTTTGTCTGAAGAGTGATGGATTGATTTTTATGATTCATTATTCTTTGACTTTACCACAACCATATAAGAAATTTTAACTTAGCATTGGAAGTATTTTATTAAACATAAAATACTTAAGAGTTCTTTAAATATCAGCCATGCTGCTCTTAAGTCTTTCAGGGTCAGAAAAACAAAAAAGTTTCATCCGATCCAATTCCAGCTGAATCCAGTAAAATAACAGTATAAATACTTAATTAAAATAAAAAGGAAAGATTCATAGATTCAAAAATGTTAGGGTTGGAAGGGACCTCAGCAGATCTTTGAATTCAACCCCTTGCCTGGGCAGGAAAGACTGCTGGGGTCAGATGACCCTAGCCAGGTGCCTGTCTAGTCTCCTCTTAAAGCCCCCCAGTGTAGGGGAGAGCACCACCTCCCTTGGAAGCCCATTCCAGATTCTGGCAAACCTTACCGTAAATAAGTTCTTCCTGATGTCTAACCGGAATCTGCTCTTTGTCAGTTTGGGCCCATTACTTCTAGTTACTCCAAGGGGTGCCCTGGTAAACAGAACATCTCCTATCCCTGTCCCCCCACCGATGAATCTGTAGGCGCCCACAAGATTACCTCTCAGCCTTCTCTCGTGCAGGCTGAAGAGATTCATTGTAGGGCCTTACATTCAGGCCCCTAACCATATGAGTGGCCCTCCTCTGGACCCTCTCAAGGTTATCCACATCCCTCTTGAAGTATGGTGCCCAAAACTGGATGTAGTACTCCAGCTGTGGCCTCACCAGTGCCGCACAGAGAGGAAGTATCACCTCCCTGGACCTGCTTGTGATGCACCTGCTAATGCACGATAAAGTACGGTTAGCTTTACTGATCAATTCATCACATCCAAGACTCATAAATTCATAGATGCTAGGGTCGGAAGGGACCCCAACAAATCATCGAGTCCGACCCCCTGACTAGGCAAGAAAGAGCGCTGGGGTCAGGTGCCCCCCAGCCAGATGCCTATCCAGCCTTATTTTAAAGACCTCCAAGGTAAGGGGGAGACCACCGCCCTTGGAAGCCCATTTCAAATTCTGGTCACCCTTACCCTGAAGAAGTTCTTCCTGATGTCCAGCCTAAATCTGCTCTCTGTCAGTTTGTTCCTTGTTACCCCAAGAGGTGCCCTGGTGAATAGAGCATCTCCAGTTCCTTGCTGCATCCCCTAATGAATTTGTAGGCGGCCACAAGATCACCTCTCAGCCTTCTCTTGCAGAGGCTGATGAGATCCAGGTCCCTTAGTCTCTCCTCACAGGGCTTGGCCTGCAAACCCTTAACCATATGAATGGCTCTCCTCTGGAACCTTTTGAGGTTATCCACATTCTTCTTAAAGTACGGCACCCAAAACTGGACTCAGTACTCCAACTGCAGCCTGACCAATGCCGCAGAGAGGGGAAGTATCACCTCCTTGGTTCTATATGTCATGCATCTGCTAATGCATGATAAAGTGCATATCAGCTTTGCTGATGATTTCATCACGCTGACGACTCAAGTTCATCTTGGAGTCCACAATGACTCTGAGATCTCTTTCCGCTTCTGTGCTGCTGAGAGGGTCATTTCCCAGCCAATAGGTGTGCTGGATATTTTTATGCCCTATGTGGAACTGCATCCTATTGTGTTCTGCCCACTTTTCCAACCTGTCCAGGTCTGCCTGAAATTGTTCCCTACCCTCCGGAGTGTGCACTTCACCCCACAATTTAGTATCATCCGCAGACTTGGACACAGTATGCTTCATGCCCACATCCAAGTCACTGATGAAGATATTGAAGACTACAGGTCCAAGGACCAAGCCCTGCAGGCCCCCACTGCCGACATCCTTCCAGGTTGATACCGACCCATCCACCATCACTCTCTGGGTGCAACCCCCAAGCCAATTTGCCACCCACTGGACTGTGTAATCATCTAAGTCACAGCCTCTTAATTTATTTATGAGAATGGGATGAGATACTGTATCGAAGGCCTTCCTAAAATCCAAGTAAACAACAAACATCCACCTCTATTCCTGTGTCTAAGCTTTTTGTGACCTGATCATAAAAAGAAACCAGATTAATCAGGAATGATCTACCTGCTATAAATCCATGCTGGTTGCCCTGCTACATTGTTTTTCCCACTGGACTTGATCCTTACTAATTTTTTCAAAGACTTTTCCAAGGATAGATGTGAGACTACCTGGCCTATAATTACTTGGATCCTCCTTCCTCTGCTTCTTGAAAATAGGGACCACACTGGCCCTTTTCCAGTCCTCTGGGACTGCCATGAGCACTCAAACAGCCGAGCCAGTGGTTCTGCTATGACACCAGCCAATTCCTTCACTACTCTCAGATGCAGCTCATCCAGGCCTGCTGACTTAAACACATCCAGTCCATCCAAGTGATTCTGCACCAAGTCAGCGTCGACAATTGGTGGGCTGGTGTCCCGCCTCTGATGCCCATCTAAGAACCCATTAGGAGACTTATTGTGACCCTCGTTCAAGAACACTGAGGCAAAAAACTCATTGAAGAACTCATCCTTGCCCACCCTGTTTGTCACTAGTTGCTCCTGCTTCTTCTGTAGGGGTCCTATGCTGCCCTGTGCTTTCCTTTTACTCCCTACATACCTAAAAAAAAGACTTTTTGTTGTCTTTAATTTGTGTTGCCAGCCTCAGCTCTGTAGTTGCTTTGGCCTTTCTAACTGCCTCCCTGCAAGTGCAGGCCAAGTAGATATACTCCTCCTTGGTAGCTTCCCTCTGCTTCCACAGTCTGTATGCCTCTTTTTTTTTGCCCTTAGGCTTCCCTGGATTTCTCTGTTTAGCCAAGGAGGTTTTTTGGCCCCTTTCCCTCGCAATGCAATTGTCTCCCTCATGTCCATCTTGGAGTCAGCTATGACTGAGATCCCTCTCTGCTGCAGTGCTGCTGAGAAGGTCATCCCCCAGCCTGTAAGTGTGTTTGCGATTCCTTCTCCCTAGGTGCAGCACTTTGCATTTGGCCTCATTGAATTGAATCCT